TGATTCTTTTATCGGTAAACGACTGCCATATGGTTAATCACAGGTAGATATACTATACATGCATAGGTACAGTGTAGTGTACAAGAACCTATGTAACCAGATACATTTACAACAAACATCCGAATGCTCGAGCAACAACTTACGCGGACAGGTCGTGGAGTGTTGCGACGAGTGACACGGAATATAAGAACAATGGCGACTGTGAGCCCGATCGCGAACCACTGAACAAATCCGAGGTAGGTAATCAATGCGTAGATGTCCGTGACAAGCAGGTAGGCCAGCGAAACAACACACTAATTAGGAGATGGAACAAAGGGAAACAGTGACATTCCAAATAAATAAACTGTACGAGATTCATATACATCGGAATAATATATATCATTGTAATGTTGTTCCTTGGAGTGCATGTGAGCTATCATATCCGGATTTGTAGATAAATTCGACAGAGCGAACGGGAAGGTGGCTGGTTGACAAGAGCATTAGCCTGTAGTACCACGACCTACGTCCACGAATAGTCAGGGTTCATCAGGCCCCGAAACCGATTATTATGGCTCTATTGACATGAAAAATGTGGTTAAACAAACAGTATCCTGAATGCGTTGTTGTTGTTGTTGTTACAGAGTTGCAATTGAGGATCGAATTGAACTAAGACAATCACCCAAGATATGATGCTGCGGCAGTGATAAATTCAGTGATCAGAAGGAGTGAATCCTTCGTGAGAGTAGGTCAGATAGGAAGTAGAAATGGATGATGCTGGTTGGTATGGTGTATAACGCGGAAAGAGACGGGCACAGACAAATTTCATCCCGCACTGTTATTCGCTTTAAGCGACTGAGTTACCTAAAGCAAATTTTCTCAAATGAGGTTTATGAACGAAAAACGCGACTCCAGTCAATGGTAGTTCTCAGATAGTTGGTAAAACAAAATGGTGATCGAGATTGCAGCTACTGAGCACCAGGTTCCGTTAATCTTATGCGCATGCCTATTATATATTGAAGAGTAAGATTGAAGTATTAGGCTTGTATTGGAAGAAAACCTATTTTCCGTCCGGCACAACTGGGGTAATTGAACGAATGCATGTTATTCGTAATTTTATCAGCAAATCATAGCAATCCGTCAGCGGTTGGGAGGAGAGATTTGCTTAGACGGGAACACAAAATTAGAATGAGTCTTAACTTCAAACATGTGCACTGATTCCCACAGACAGAAAAGAGGTAACGAGCTAAATTGACAGAACAACTAAGAATTTCTAGAGTATCTATCAATGAATTCAACTGATATCCACTAAGGTTAAAACGCAACCGATTCAAAATGTTAACAACGAGACCCTTTCTTATTTTTGCAGACCTAAACACATTAAATTACTCTGAATCTTATAACCATTTTTATTGTTATTACTAGCATTAATCGTTTTTTCATCCCTTAACTATATTTCTCAACTTACTTTACAGCTTCTATTTTAGATACTTTCGTGTTCCACAAGGATCAGTGCTAGGCCCACGTCTTTTCCTTGTCTTCATTAATGATCTTCCTCGGACCACAAACTCTGCTGTTTGCAGACGATGCCAAAATATGGAGGACAATAACAAAACCAGAAGATATAATTTGACCTCCAGAACGCCCTTGACGAAGCTCACAGATGGTCTGTCTCCAATGATATTGAATTCAACGTCACCAAATGTAAAGTCGTATCACTACGTCACAATGGTCGTTTTCTCTACACTCTCGGACACGATACTTTGCCTCATGCTCCGTCCGAGAAAGATCTAGGAGTAGTCATCGACACAGAATTGAGTTGCTCCACAAACTGTTCCCGGGCATCATCCATTGCGGTAAAGCAGGTTGGACTGCTCAAACGTGTTTTGGATCGTTTGAGCCGGCTTTGTTTCCACGTCTGCTAGCCACGTATATTCGCCCATATACTGAGTACTCAATTCAAGCCTGGAACCCATGGTTGCAGCGAGATCTGAAGGCACTCGAACATCCACAGAGAATAGCTACCAAAATGGTCAAAGGTTTGCATTCGGAGAAAGATTACAGCTCCTGGGGCTATACTCATCCCAATATCGTCGAATCAGAGGCGATATGATTTTACTCTATCGGATTTTCCAACAACCCAACCACCCCTGTAGACCTCTGTTGGTTTTATCGCACAACGTTCATCTCAGAGGGCATCCGCTGAAGTTGGCACACCAAAAGAGCCGTCTCGACTGCAGACGTTACTCGTTTGCAGTCAGAGTGTGCAGCACATGGAACTCTCTACCATCTCACGTTGTCTGTGCCCCAACATTAGTATCATTCAAGCGTCAGCTTGATGATGTCCTGGAAACCGTTACATTTCAACACCCAACTACATAACATATTCTCCTGTGCTCGTCAAAACCTTAATTTACTACTTTACTTTTATGGACTAACTGTGATATTGTGATTCTTCATCCGAACCCATGTGTAAACACCCTATGGGATTTGTAAAAGCGAAGTCTTTGTAAGTTATATCCCATAGTAAAAATTTGAATTGGAATTTGTGTTTAACCTATTCTCGTAATGACAGTTACCTGTGGAAGGTTTGTACGAATTCTTGGTCAATCCTCTTTTCAGAGTTGACAAGGTGAATACGAAACAAATATCGCCTAGTACACATGGGTCAAGAAAGTGAACGCATTTGAGTATGAATTACTCTGTTTTATTACTGTTACACGTCGACGTTTTTTTACTAAAATTTTCGTGTGATGAATAGTAGACGGAGTGAACCCCACAGTTAAGAGGACCTGATGTTCATTGGGGGAATTCGGCAACCTAAACCCCGAGAATTGGAGTGGCGAACCACATAAGGCCCTAATAGGTTATATGCGTATGAAGGAGGCAGGATAAGATAAACAGTTACCATCAATACAGAAATGATCAACTCAGTAAGGATAATAATCACTTGTTGTCATGTACTTTTACGTTATCTGATTGTATTGGGAAGAGATGCCCACATGGTACAGGCATTCGAGACATGTTCCTAGTACTCATTTAATAATTGTTAAGTAATTAAGAAAATAATCTGGAAGTTGATTCATTGATTCCCCAATGCCTTTATACGTTTGCTGGGAAGATAACCCTGAATCAAAAGTGGGTAGCATACAATTGCGTTATCGAGTTTCCAACAGAAATCATGAATTTCCAGTAATATATCGATTTATACCGGTTATTCTTTGAGTTGAATTCTATCCCCGGCAGAATGGATATGGGGAGTTATCTTAAGGAAGTATAACATGTGGTAGATTAGTTCCCTCCAATCACCTGCAACGGCAAGTCACACGAAATTTTAGCGAGCCAAATGTCTTACTGATCCTCATTTCAAGACATGGGGAAAAACGTTTACTGATACAACAACGCGCACCAGACCTAAGGGAGAGTGATCCCCATTACAACGGGATCTGAGGTTCCGTTCAGGTGAACTCTCTTCCGCAATATTCAACATCGGGAGGAAAAAAATACTTTCAGAAATAATTTTCCAACCCCGATTTGCCCACTAAACACCATCTTGTTCAAGGCGTTCGTTGCATTATTTTAAACCACATGAAACGCGGGCATTGTTTAGTCTAATGTCATGAACTCTAGCCCATTTAAGTTACAGAAGATAGTTAAACAAGTTATTGTTCACAACTAGAATCATTTATTTGCACAGCTGTATCATGACGATTTGGTTCGAACTGAACCCTTAAGTTACACATACACACACAACGTTCACATGTTTACCGCTTGACCCAACAACATTACTTCTCGGAATAAACATGACAAACTCTGTTGATTCAGATGCGTACCAGCAGTCAATACTTGATCCAATTTCCCAATAACGCAAAACCACTCTCAACGCTGTACCCCCCCCCCCGCCCGATAATGAGGTACGCCTTAATATCTCTAAACGATTGCAACGCGACTGTATGCAGCGCGTGACAATCCCTGTCAATCACATTTGCGGGTATGTTTGCTTCTCATTGAATATGTTCCATTTCCTGGTCTTTTGTTTCTTTGACCTAGCAGGTCTGTTGCACAGATCCACTCACGAAAGACTTATCTTGCGTGTCCCCGGTATTCCGTATCGCCCCGCATTGTCACTGTTCCGTGATTCGCCATTCTGTGAAACCTCATGCTATTTCGAATCGCGGAGACTACGAGCAAGAGGATATCCCGTCGCGCATTCGTGTGGACTCCGGTGACCTGAACTAGCTCGGAGTACGTTCAAATTACACATTTCGTGTGCACGTGCACATGCGAAAAAGGGTGAATTGGAAATTTCGTGATCGTTACCACTAACTACCACTGAATGCATTAAATTGATGTTATCATCACTCCTCATGAGTTGAGCGCGTTGAATCGATCCGATAAATCATCAGTGCACGGAGAGCACGGGCAAGCACCGCTGGGGAAATCGTACCGTAAAAATGACAGCAGGAATCGGAGTGAGCCGATCCACATGAAGGAAAGAGACCATCTGGGGCATTTGGTTCTCCCGGCTGGCCACGAAGAACACACGAGAAGCGGTCAGCATAGAACCGTTCACTCCACCGAATGTGGAAAATGCAACAAACAGGGGCATGATCCACCACATGGGTCCGTAGATTCGATTGGCGAAAGTCTAAAATTAATCACGAGGGGGAAGATAAGTTTCGAGCTACGGATCACTTTTCAAGGTTACAAAATGAATAAGTGATTATGAGGTGATTCACGGGTTACCAGAAAGTGAGCGAATTATACCCTTCACGATTCAATGTGGTAAGACGCAATTTTTTCATGACTGAGGTTTTTGATAATTTAACTACAGAAAACAGCACCGTATATTGTCCAACACAGAAGGGGGTGAGAGAAAGAGAGAACAGACGTAGCCTCTTCTAAATGAGTTTTAATTCATCGGATATGCACCCACCGGTGATCGGAAGCAATGCTTGAGTAAATACATGGTTTGTCATGAGTGATGAGTTTCACCACAATAACCGATATCCTCCAGTGGTACTAGGAGCATGAAAGAGAGCAGCTAATCAAGCCAGTGCACCTTGCTGTGCTTGATGATATATAGTGAAGTCCTGGATTAAGCACTTCCATCAAACTGTTGTGACATGGCACCACCAGAATGGCACGCAATCCGTATCCACAATTACCGACTTTCAATGAATAACACTTTCCCATACCACAGGCATAGTTTGGTTGGGTAGATGATGGGAATTTAGTTTATGCAAGAACCAAATGGCGACACAACTGTTGTGCTACTCAGTGAACTCTTTCTCAAGAACGAAAAGGCATTAATGAGAATTACGCTTGTCAACTTGTACACAGCATTTTATCCATCTAAGCCCATCATCGACCATCTTCTCGTATTTTTCCGAATGCTCCAGATTTCGCTATGTCAAACAAATGATTACCTCATGAAACGTACAATGATTTGCCAAAACAACGGTGACGTAACTGTATACAAAGTAAAAAAAATGCTATTGGCAAACTTTGAAAGATAACATTGATTACATTCCGCATGGAGATTGTGTACACGGTGAGTTCAGACGGTTCTACAAATGAAAGTTAAATAATATTCGTAGTCTATCAGACTTATAGTCCTTTCATTGGTGCATGAAACTGATTTGAAGACATATTCCCTGCCCCGCCCCTCGTCACAGGCACAACTGGTAAAATATCCGCATCACTTGGTAGCTGTCGCCAATCCAATTCGCAGTTGTCCGTGTGATAGCGCAAGTTACCGGGTAATTCAGACACTAATTATTTTTTCATGGGATTGATCGGATTTATTAGGTGTACATGTGAGGGGAAAAAAGCGTACGCACACGGTTTACCTTTTTCACGTTGTTTATGTCCGCACCAAACAGTTTTTTTTAAACAACTTACGGCGTTAAACTCGTGTAAAAACAAGTTGATAAACTGTGTAATAAACTCAAGGTACGCGAATTCACCAAAAATAAAAGAAATCAATTCCAAAAACGACCTGGGTAACCAACGGCAGATATCCCTGATGTCCAGTGATACGTGCACAGCGGATTAGGTGTGGAATTCGGTTACTCAATTGACCATTAGAAATAGACCATCCGAAATAGGATCGATGGTATTAACCTATTAAATGCTCACATCAGGTGCGAAGATTCGCGTTTCGTCATCTAGATAATACTTATTGTATCCCTTCATGTGATACACAGTCACATAATGAATCCCACAGTTTGGTTACCGGATTCGGTTAAGTAGATTAGCGAATCACATAAGACAGGTGTAGAACACCGGCAAATCTGTTACTTAATCTGAGTGAAGAATCGTGGATCTTCAGGCCCCTATGAACACCGCAGTGACTTTTGCAGCTCGACTAGTGCTGCTCACCAGTCAAACATACTACTACTATTGCCACCTAAAATATGTCAGTCAATTGTGGTAACACACAATTCATCACCTCAACGATTTTGTTTTGACTGGATTCTCAAAATTTTACTTCGGATCTTCCGCATTATGAAACGTTTGCTTGCTCTGAAATGCCTTCATAAGACTCACTAGAAGTTAGTTTGAAGATAAAACCTGCCTTAATTCTAAGCTATCCATGAGGTATTCACGAAGTACTCGGAGCACGATATACCTAAGGATGATCCCGAAGAACTGAATCAAACATGTTCTTTAGTCAAAATTTCAAATAATCTCTGAGATCAAATAGATTTCCCTCTCCGCTTTTGACGGCATTTGTGTCACAAGACCAGGTTTGGACAGCAAAAAGAAAATGAATTGCGCGGTATTGAGCAATGAAAAGCTTCCAATCAACCTAGACATCAATACAATCTGAAAAAAACATACCACAGCAACAGCGGGTGTTGTCAGCATTTCACTCAACGAGACCACTGTGAGATAGGCCACATTGGCTAACGTGTAAACAATGGTCACACAGAGGCAGGAGAAAATGATTGCAATAGGCAGATCCCGACGTGGGTTGCTCATCTCCTCGATCATGCAGTTCAGATAGTTCCATCCAGCATAGGCGAACAATCCAGAATAGAAAGCTTTTGCGATATCGCCCGGATTCCAGTTTGAACCGTAGAACGGATCACGCAATTCCTCGATGCGTCCTATCAATCATCAGATGGCAACATAGTCAATAAACTTTAGCTCTGTTCAGCTCAATTAAATACATCAATGACAGAATGCTTTTTGAACAGATAAAAATATGTGCAAGTCTGCTTGTTGTAGTCATCACTGAGTTAAATGCATCGTATAGGCCAATATGTGGTCTCGATCCTAGTAAAATCGAGATTTCGCGTGCTAGTTTGCCTTTTTCTGATAAACGATGGAGGGGAAAACATAATTATATGGTCGGGAGTGGGTGTCTTGGACTGTGGCTAGTCACTCTTCCCTTGCACCTAGCGAAATGCTCCTATACGACCGAGACCTTCAAATAGCCTCTGCTGATGAAGCCCTACTCACTGTGTTCTCGTGGCTGGGGTGTTTCCCTATCAAAGTGAGAGGTCGAAAAGCCAACATCCGGGGCTATAACACGGTCAGTGAACCTATGGCAGTTCACCTAGGAGAGTTGGTTAAAAACCCTGTCTACGAAGCAACCAAGAAAAGGCGTACGAACCAAGCACACTTTCCTGGTTATGGCATTGGGCACCGGTTCGGTTGGGTGCGGAGATGTATTGGGAACCTTGGAGATTTGTCTTTTTCCAAAGAACGTATGATCCGATGAACTGGACACCGGTCCCGAATGGAATGCAGTTCAGTTCTTGGCTCCGGCTCATTCAAACATAGGAACTACATTGCCACAGTTACATCGCACTTGTAGCAAATTATACCAGCATCTAAAGTTGATAATCTCAAATCGATCAACCGGTCCCACACATAAACACAGTGGCTCATAATCATATAAAGCAGAATAGATTGTGCTGTGGCACCCACTAGGTTCTATGAATTGTCCCGTTGACGCCAAAAGCGTTTCAGCCAAGGGTATCCCATTCAAATCTAGGATAGGAGCATGGCTACCTAGTTCACTGAGCTACCGTCATTTGTCCAAAAACCGTCTAGGGAAGAAAATAAATAAACCTCATTCAATCCCCAAACATCGGGGTTCAAGATCTGCGCAGTTTTGTCCCTTCCCCTCCTAGTAACGAATTGCGCTCTGGGAATTAAACTCTTCGAAAGAAGCAATAGTCATCGTTAATCATTTTAGCCCGTTGTGTGCATCTTGCGCGCATTAGAGAAAACAGACGATTTCTCTCACCATAGCCAACATCAGGTCAGTCAAAGTGAGAATCCAGTGAGGGCTGAAGACAATAAATCGGATCCCTGAGGAACAGGTAAGTTCCACTCGAAAACACAGACATAAAATTGCTTCCTCACTGCACCAACCACAGCATATCTCTTTAGATGTCTAATCTTACCCGTTTTTCAGCGAGATTTGTTTCTTTTTGCATTTGAAACCAATTAAAAGGTGTTTCGGTTGTTACCGTTTCATTATCAAGAACAGTTGTAGCGTATGGCATTCTCGATTACCGTAACTGATGATCGAAAGGCTGCCTGTTCAGCACGCTTCACGATATGGAAATCTCATGCACCAGGTCCGATGTCCCACGGACGGTGTTCATCAAAACTGGACTGATCTTTGGTGAGATACCACTGAAGATCGCACCTCGGAAGAATAATTCAGACTGTTTGGGGAATTCACCTTATTTTTTGTATCCGGAACGAGAAATATCTATCATCAATTATAAAATTTAGTGAAGTATAAACCTTAATGGGAGCAACACGGACGAATGGATAACAATGAACAATGAAGTCCAGATTTACAGTGCACATCATTCGCACTGGTCCTCGATCAAATCCACGATTGTGCTCTACATTCACATCAAAAGCTACATGTTTAATCATCTCACTACGGTAGGCCAGCACAAATCTATATCTTTAGAACAAATAAATTAGGGACTTTAATTCTCACAATAGAGGGATCAGGCTCTAGAACGTGTCAACTATCCCAATAACATTCGCTCACACGTGTGTAATAAACTTACCAAATCCCATCTGCACAAAGCCTGTCACTATTATTAGTAACAAAGCAAACACCTTCGCATAGGTGAAGAAGTCCTGCACTCGTGTAGAAAGCCGGACAGAATAGGAGTTGATGAATGCCAAGATTACTGAAAACAAGAGAAAAATCCCATTCACTTTCCACGAAAGTTATCTGATTAGGAATGTACGGAACAATCGTCAATCTGATATCCGTCAAAAACCGAGTGGAGTAATGAGATTTTAGGAATGGACAAATAAAGGATGGAAATCCGTATCGTAATTACTTCACTGGGAGAAACATAGAAAGCTCGTTCATGCTGATAAAAAACAAATATTTGGGATGACAATAAAGCTATTTTGCCCATCAGTCATTTTTCGGATAAGGTCTAATGGCATAAATAACCCGTTAAAAATGCATTTTTAAATTAGATTGCAAAAACAGCCCCGGTGCAACTCGGGCCCAAACTTAGACGCTTACGTCCCGCAGCACCTTAAGTAGTGTGTATGGGGGTGAAATCCCTTCCAAATCCAGGGCATGATACTGAAATCCGTTCAGTGCCGCTTCACCAATTGGCCTGTAGGATTTGGACAGCTTCCTGCAGACAAGCGGTTGGGCGATATGACTGAAGCCTAAGAAAATCCGAAGGGCTTATCATATGTACCAGGTAGAGCATTATGCAAACTGTGCTTTCCGAAGGGACGCACCAAGGTTTTTTGAAGCGTGAGAACCCAGTTGAAAGCATCGCGTTTTGCAATCCGAGCAATAGACGAATGAAATAAGCTACCTGAAGAAGCTACTGCAGTCAAATCAACCATAGACTTCAAAGTGTGACTTAAGGTGTTGAAGGGGAAGCGTCTGAGCATGCTTAGGCCGGATGAAACTAACTCTGACTGTGAAGCGATCAACTGCAGGCAACACTGTACTTAACCACTCCTTCCTCCTGATCTATGTGCATCTTCCTTTCCACTCGCCTTAGACCTTGATACTTTCCCTTCCGCACTTTCATGCTTATCACTATTACTATTATTATCATTATGTTTGAAATTCTCTTGTGCAAATGAAATAGTGTGCAAGCTACAATTTCGGTCGTGGCAAACCACTCGGACTAGAGCTCTGGTATCGGGGATTACTCTTGGCCATTTATGCTGTTTCTTTTCTGGTAGAGATTTTTCCCCTGTTATCGCAGCACAGGGGAAGTCACGGGGGTGAGACACTGGACAAATTTGAACAATGTTACTGATGTTTCACACAGCTCTAAGCCTACCAGCTGATATACTAGGCATGTCTTTTCGCATTACGTCCATTCGGGGTTAGAATTTCACCGGTGCTATTTAATTTTTTCACAATCCAAGCACAAGATTGTTGACTTTCAGTTTTCGGCCAAACAATGTAAATAAATTAATAAAATAAACAATGGTAGATAAACATTGCTTTATACTATTAAAAAACTTGTCTAGTAATCTACACTGGCACCAGTATTACCTTCACTGCTATGAATCATTTCAACGGTCGAGAATAAAACGGTTGGTTGAGAACTAAAAACGGGTTTCCGAAGATACCAATTTCGTATAATCAGGTATTATGGACGTAGTTTTATTGCAGGTGAGCCACATTCTAATCATTTTGAACGACCACGGTCGGATGTAGAATAAATAACGCAGTCCTTCTCTGTCTGGTGTTTAACACTCAGTTATGTGGGCTAAACAAACATGAGAAATCAACGTAAACGTTTTTTAGGTTCTTAACAATCGCAACTGACTATCCTCAAAGACCCCGCCATGATGACTGGACGAATATAGTTATTTAAACTTTGTTCTACAAGTACCAGTTCGTTTTATGTTGTAGCCGCTAGGGAGGTTGAAAAATGTCGAAATCTTACGGTATTTGTCTGCTCGTTGTTCCAACGCATTAGTATCTGATCAGAAATCAGAGGATATTAGACTAATAAAGAATGAATATCTTTGGCGCTCTTTGGAACGGTACGCGGATTAAACCGACTGTATATGACAGTGAAGCAAAGCAAGTAAAATGAAGATATTGTTCAGACTACGCGTCTTTTCGGTCCATAGATATTATGAATTTTCCATCTGTTCAAAGTGAAACTTTTATAGCCAGAAAAGCAAGATAGTAGTCGATTTTATTGTGGCATGTTAATGCGTGAGACACTTAGGATACTGTACAATAGAAATTATATCAGGATTCTCACATACACCAAGGCATCAATCATCGAAAATCACCATCTCGAACTGTACAGCTAGCGTGAATGGCTTATCACTATCGTATTATGCTGGCAAAAAACGGGTTGAGCAACATTGTTTGAAATCTTTCTTGACCTAAGATCATGCAGCTTTTGAACACATTGATCATTTAAACTGCAGTGTGTAAATGAACAGTTGCAACGAAATCCATGAACCGGAATACGTTTTGCTTTTGGCTTTTACGCTCCAGTTTATCACGGGGAAACTGTGCGTTCAAATATTTATCCGAATGATTTTGAAAGAATAGAAACCCTAAACTCAATCAAACGCTTGATAGACAAAAGTGGATAATTAATTGCCCAAATCCGATGAACATAGGAAGCCGTTTGTATGCGTGATAAAAAATGAGCGTAGTAAAGCACAAACAAGAACACTTGCATAGACAAACAGCCGATAAGCAACGTAATACAGTTTCCGATTGCTCGCAATCCGGGAACACCGGTTGAAGGATGTATTTGGCAAAAGTCATGCCGATGACTGCCATCGTGGCTGGTCGGGCAACCATCACTTCAATCCACAGACGCAAAAAGCCCATAAACGGTCCAAAAGCTTCCAAGTGATAGGCGTAATCCCCGCCAGAACGATGTATCATTGTTCCCAGTTCAGCATAGCAGTAAGCACCAAGCATTGAGAACAACCCGCACCCAATCCAGATGACAATGCTTGCACCAAAACTGCGGACGTTCTCAGCGATGCCAGTCGGGCTGACGAAAATCCCGGATCCAATCATGGAACCAATGATAATGGTAATGCTGTTAACTAGACCGATTGTTTTTCGCATTTTTGCGGGTTCTTCTGCCGGGCCTTTAACGTCTACGGCGTCATGCATCTCCTTTTCTTTATTTGTGTCTGCCATCTTTACACAACCCCACAAGCTGAAATAAAATTGAATGGCACCGTTTTAGGCAAATGAATTATTTTCCGAATGCGGGAGATTATTCAAAACCTTTGCATGGTAAGTACGCGTACGTCATGGCATGAATCATGTTTGGATCTCTATTGGTGGATGAAAGAACATCACAAACTTGGTGGGTTAATAAACTAGTGTTATGGTTTAAAATAACAAAGGAGTAATTCATCAAACACCTGACGTCGTATTAGGTAATCAAGAAAGTCAGGGTCAGAACCCACTAGTCTCATCTAATGATATTAGATTATTCTTTGGTGCTGACTGAGTGCTCTCTTGATATCTGATCTATAGTTGAGTCTGATTTTGAATGCATGTTGAACATCTGTTCGGAATGCAGCGGTCGTTAACCACAGGTGTTAAGAGATATGATGAACTTTCCAGCTTTATGCATATATAGTTGGTTCGGAAAGTGAAAATAATAAGTATGAACCGGGGAAATAAAAAAACAGCTTACAACATAATAGGTACGAACAAAGCAAAACTTTCTTGTCTCACAGCACAACGTACATACTAACCTTTCTGAATACGGGAATTAGTAAGATCATCTTGATGACAACATGCAACCTTATTGCAGTGCTCACAGCTTCTGGAATAAATGGTATTTGGGTTCGCCAGTAGTAGCCATTTCTCTAAAGACTATGGAACATCGAGTGTGCACCAGCACGCAAAAGGTCCAACAAAACTAATCTAAAAGACGCTTGAAGTGATCATTTAACTTCTCTAATACTGTACCCAAGAGAGAGCTACAGATACTAGTCAACTTTTGAAAGTCGATACACGAGTGGAAATCCAAAGTAGTCAAGTTTTTAGCGTGAGCGAGTGTCTCTTTGGCGGTCACTGTTACTGAGGTAACTATCGCTGGAAATCCTAGTTCAGGTGGCTGCGAACAATTCGATATTAAATTCTGAGGCTGCGTTGAATGCAATTACGGATTTTCACAAACTTTAACTAGTGTATCATGTCAAAAGAATCCATTCGATACTAGACTAACCTTTCATTGAATAATCGATAGGGCCTTTCTGTGACGCTTTTGATGCAAAACTTATGACATCAATTTTCTATTGTTAGCACTGCGATTTAGGTAAATATTGTTGCTTACCAGATGCCATTTAATGAACTGGTATATGGAATACACAAATAGAATGAGAGCTGTGAGAAACATTGAAAGGCAACTGAAGATAAATACTGAAAAGTGAGCTTTCAAGTTGCCGCTATTAGGCCTTACGCTGGTTAAGGCCCTACCGACTTCGAATGGAATTACGCAACGGGACACTCGGAGTACGCCAAGTTTCAGTCTCACTTTAAACAACCATTGATCATGTACTTTCGTGCACCGGTTTTGGTTGCTATCTTTTGGCCGCCCATTTGGATGAAGCAGTAGTAGAAAGACAGAAGGTTGAGAACTCCAGTGAACTATTGTTGCGAAAGACTTGAGAAAACTACCGTACGCCATCGTTTACGACACTCAGTCGTATCACTCAGTGTCACTAACCATCGATTACGATTAGTCTAAGGTCTCCATCCAGGGAGCCTTAAAGGACCTTCGTGACCGACTTTCTTGGTCAGAGTTTTCATAAACTCAGGTCAGGTCTTAGTTTGACCACCCCTGGCATTTTTTTCACCGAATACCTGCCTCAGCAATCATCATTCCCCGTGACTCTCGTGACATGCGTAACACATGCCCCAACCAACGTAATCTATGGAGGTCGATCACTTGCTCCAGTGAACGACTGCGATTACCTAAATCTCTACGTCTGACATCAGCATTGCTCATCCGGTTACCCCACCAGACTCGTGCAATGCTGCGTAGACAGCCGTGTTCAAACACCGACAATTTATCTTTATCCTGTTCCCGTAGTGACCAAGTCTCTGCACCATAAAGCAGAACTGGCCGAACTGCTGCAGCAAACACTCGGCCCTTCACACACAACACGATTTCATAACGGTACCACAAATGATTCAAGTTGGCAAATGTCAACCAAGCCTTTTGTATCCGCGCCGACACTTCATCTGTGGTGCGTCCGCCAGGTGCGATATAGCTCCCCAGATAGCAAAATTTGTCTACTTCCTGTACTTTTTCCCCAGCGAGGGTGTGACTGGGTGCTGAACGAACCCAATATTGTAGTAGCATTTTAGACTTTGAAGGTGCAAAACGCATACCGAACATGGACACACAAGCACTCAAACTATCCAGAAAAGCATGCAACTTACCTGGATCTTCACTTAGTAGCAAAATGTCGTCCGCATACTCTGGATCAGACAGCCTGCCACCTGCGAGTAAATCGACGCCACAATTCTCGCATGCGGATAGGGCTGTTTCCATAATCAGATCTATAACAAAGTTAAATAGAAATGGAGAAAGAGGGCAACCCTGACGAGCACCACTTTCTGTGGTGATCTCGGATGAAAACGTGCCGTGAGCTAGGGCTCGATTTCGGCTAGGAGTATAGAGGGACCGTAAAATTAAAATAAACTACTCGTGCATACCCTTCTGGGAACTGCAGCGCCAGTTTAGAGCAGTCGACTGAGTCGAAATCCGCTTTCAGATCGAGGAAGACAGAGATGGTGGGTTTATGAAAAGAATTCCGGTGCTCCAGAGTTTGGTGACAATCGTCGGAGTATGATACCAGCGAGAAGTTTAGAGACGATGTTGATTAAACTAATTCCTCTTTGGTTTTCACAGGAGGACCAGTCACCTTTCTTGTAAATCGGTATGATCACCGACTCACACCATTCAGCTGGAAACTCTTCCCTTTCCCATATTGAACCCAGGAGTTTTGTCAACTCCAAGACCAACGCTGAGCCTCCATCCTTAAACGCTGATGGAAACAGTCCATCTAGGCCAGAGGCCTTATGCCTTTTGAGATAACTTATTTCCCGGGAAACCTCCATTTCAGATGGAGGACTAGCATCAACTGAGAGTATTTGTCCAGTCGAGGTGGAGAGTGATAGTTCAGATGTCGATGGGGGCCAGTTGAACTTAGCCTTGAAATGTTCAGCCCAACGGTCGAGACGGCGTTGTTTATCATGAATCAGTGTTCCGTGAGATTCCTTGATTACCCCACGTGTGCCTACTTTCTTGGGGCCTGTAGTCCTAATTAAAAGATTGCGACTAATACCAGTAGCTGCAGCCTTTTTCATCTCTATATACGTTCCTATCGACCACTTCTTTCGGTCATTCCTTAAACTCTTGATGAACTGGCGCTTGAGGGATTTGCGCGGTCATGTGTGGAGGAAGGGTTGTGTGGGCGTCCAGTGGGGCAGCCGAGGCTGATGAAATCCATCGTTTGTGTGCAGGATTTGGTTACGTATTACAGGAGCGATAATGCATGCTTAAAGAAGCCGAAATTCAGCCACATAACAGCTGAACGAAACAAACAATATACAGCAAATTCTCGACGCCCTAAATAACGGAGGTGAATGAGGTTTTCTGAGACCGTGTATGATTGTCTAGAGCTTACATAGCCTTAAATTTGCTTTTTTTCTAGTTGGTCTTATATACGGACATTAAGAGATACAACTAAGGATAACAGACGAACCGCTTGAGGTTGCAACTAAAGACAATCGTTTGGAAACAGTAGGAATACACATCGAAACCGGTTGCTAAGAGGGCAGAATGTAACATCGTGAGTTTCTTAAATAACACAAGTTTCATAGTGCACTCTGCGATCCACGATGACTTACTGAGATTTGGGACTCGTGATCTCCCTATAAGTGAAGACGCAGGTGCATACAAAAAGAGCACGCTCCGCTGCAAGGTAGGAAAAAATGTCGGTTGATGATCTATCGATTGCGGCCCTCAGAAATCTACTTGCTTTGACTTTTGTCCACCGCTTGTATATGCTGTATTCGCTCCATATCCACACACGCCCGCGAAAATGGTTATGTTGGAACAAGTGCAACGCTACGCCACACGAATAAAGGGGAAACTGTGGGATCAGATTTGAAGGTCTACCATAAGCACTAAAACTGTTCCCGGTTTGTTACAGAAGATTCCACGAGGATTTCAAATACCTACGAAAGATTTGTCTTGGTGATCTGGGACAGGAGCTGCGTGTTGCGCTTCCACCGAGTGAATGTAACTGGACGAGTGGTCATAAGCTCAAGCTCCAGGAGCTAATATATATATATATATATATTTCACACTTGTCTGAGGACAGACTGTGTGCCAAACAAATCATGGTACAATAATTTTTATAAAAAGAAAAATGTTCCATGATTGGCTTGTGGGCTGAGTACTGCCAGGTTGCCCAGGCCAAGGCAGGTGAATTTTCTTGAGGAATCCACAACCGGAGCCTTCGGCTAGCCAAAGCCTGACCCGCAAGGCAGCGGGGCGGTGTGCGAAAACCGCAGTCCATTGGGAGCCGGTGTCCAGTTCATCGGATCATACGCCCTTCGGACGGGGTCAGACGTCCAAGGTGCCCAATGCACCTCAATGCCCAATTGAGCCGGTGACCACTGCCACAACCGAAAAGGTGTGGGTGTGGTTCGTACGTCTCCTCATGGTTGGTTTGGAATCAGGGTTTTTGGCCAACTCCCCTAGGTGAACTGCCAGTGGTCCACCAACCCGGCTATAGCCCCGGATATCGGCTTTTCGTCCTCTCACTTTGGTGGGAAAACACCTCCGCCGCGAGAAGGCAGTGAGTAGGGCTTCCTCAGCAGAGGCTATTTGAGACGCTTGGTCGTATGGGGGCATTTCGTGAGGTGCAAGGGCAGGGTGACCAGCCGCAACCCTAGACACCCACCCCCAACCATACTGAGGCCTTGGGAGGCTAAAGTCTGCGGGAATTCCCTGAGTTTATGGTCATTCCAAGAGGGCAACAACTCTTGGGAACTCACATCCGTAGGTGTTGGAGGAGCAGAACGAGAAGCAAATCAAAACCCTTCTTTACGGAAATCTGGTGCAACGGCAGCGACTACGATTTTCCGTGCCGGTGGTGATGAAT